GCGGCGAAGGTGGATGCAACACTCTACCGGATCATCGTCGGCGGGCTGCGCTACCTAGTCCACACGAGACCAGATATCGCATTCGCCGTGGGCTATGTCAGCCGCTTTATGGAGGACCCTCGAGAGGGTCATTGGGCTGCAGTAAACGACTGTTGCGTTATGTCAAGGGGACAGTGGATCAGGGCATCATTTTCCCCAAGACCGGCGACGGAAGTGAGCTGCGGCTCACGGTTTTCAGCGATGCAGACATGGCAGGCGACATTGATGGGCGGAAGAGCACCTCCGGTGTGCTCGTCTTTCTTGGATCGGCCCCAATCTCATGGCAGTCGCTGAAACAGAAGATTGTAGCGTTGTCTACGTGCGAGGCGGAGTACGTGGCGGCAGCCACAGCGGCATGCCAGGCGGTCTGGCTGCGTCGGTTGCTGGGCGAACTGACCGGCGAGGAAGTTCGTGCACCAACTCTGATGGTGGACAACCAGCCCGCCATTGCCCTTGCAAAAAATCCAGTCCTCCATGACCGGAGCAAGCACATCGATACCCGTTTTCACTTCATCCGTGATTGTGTCGATGGAGGACAGATTTTTTTGGAGTTTGTCGAATCCGGACGGCAGCTCGCAGACATCCTTACCAAACCACTCGGCCGTCTTCGGTTCATGGAGCTGAGGACCAAGATTGGAATGATAGGAAATAAGCCAGATTAGGGGAAGAATTGTAAGATATAATCCTGCAGTTTCCTTGTTAGTGAAGTGCAACTTCCTTGCACTTTCATTACACTTTCATTGCATTTTATTTGTAGCTTCCTTGCAGCTGCAAAGGACCTTCATAGCAGCCCCTTTAGGCTGAATTTTCAGCTTTAGTAATTTCTAGGAAAGTGTTGAATAGTAGCTTTTAGTTCCTATAAATAGGGATGTAGTTTTTCATTTGTAAAAATACACAGAAAAGCTTAATACTCAATACATTGAGTTGTTCACAATCTTCTTCTTTCATCCTAAAAGTGTTCGTTTGTACCGGAAGCATTTTTTGCTTACCTGAGCAGTGAACGAGCAGGGACTAACACATTCTTCCAAAACTATTGGCTCCACCTCACACGTATACGCAAATCCCGCAGTAGATTTTACTTGTTGTTTACGTCTGACTAGAAATTAGAATCCTTTATAATTTATAGGCTCCATATGGTTCTTTTGGTAAACCAACATATTATCCTTAGTCCTTTTGCAACACTTGACTATAGGTTTTTACCACAAACCAATGTGCTCGTTTAGGATTACTTCGATATCTACTAATTACGCCCGCGTCAATAATAGATATCAAACCTCATTTTCTGCATTGCATACACTAGGCTTCCTATTGCCAGGCATAAGGAACTCCTTTGTGTCATGCATGCTAAGAATGAGCCTTATGACAGTATATGGACACGAGGCTTGGGATAATCGCAATATTTCTTTCTTGTCATCCTTGACCACAAGAACATGTGTCAATTTTTTCGAATGCTTCACATTTAACTGCTTGGATAACCATACATCTGCGCTTGGCAACATCTTCACACTATCCCTCCAGTGATCAGAATGTCGTCTACGCACAGTACCTAAACAAAAATCGCTACCACTCTTCTACGCACAGTACTTATTTTGTGCATGATTGAATGCACTCAGCCCTTTACAATGAACACTTCTGGGTGCTGCTCCATGGATTTCCACAAGACTTCTGGTTAAGGAAAATGTCTTGACATCCACCTCGCCGAATCTCATAACTCATATGAGCGACAACAGCCTAAAATTCGTATAGACTCAAGCAAGGCTACTGGTAACTCATAATAGATCACATTCTTTTTTAGTCTACTATTTCACAACAAACCTTGATCTAAAGTCTACACGATTTTGCTTTTAGATTTCGCTCAATGACTTTTAAGCACTTGGTGGTTCTACATCACCCCAGATCTGATTATAGTCCGCGACCCTAAATCAGAAATCATTGATATTCGCTAAGATTCTGCATCTCTGTCTCGAAGCAAACATAGATCAATTCAAGTTTCTAGAGACAGTCCAAAGACTTCTAAAAAATCATGAATTCATAGTCCGAAGACCGAGTCCAACGACACTCTCATTAACACAAATCTATGGGGTCGTCTTGCAACCCTCCCACTACAACGAGCACCTCATTGTATAAATACAAGAGATATTGGTACGTCCAGAGTATAAGAAGGTTAGGTAATCCATCAAACAATTGACAAATACACAATGATCTGGCTCAGTGGAGTTTCGAATTTGAACAAGCAGTTTTGCATCATCGCGTAACCAAGCCCGACGAGTATCATCTTTGACATCATCTGTGGGAGGATCCGAATCCAAGTGATCGTCCTTTTCGATACTACGGAACAGAGGCGGACGATAATAATTTCACTCCAACCAAGGAAATTAGGACCATTCAATTTTACATCGGTGATTTTATTCATAACAGGGATGATGTCATACATAATTTTATTCGCAACCATAGAAAGAGAATTCTGCCACCACAAGTGAACCAATCAGAGACAAAATTTTTTGCCAAAAGATCACAAACGAAGGGCTGAAATTAAAAAAATTCTAACCTGCACACCAAGAATCACCGAAATCCAAAACTGAGAACACCAAGCAGATGGACATTCACCGAAAATTTTCCAACACGTGCCTTCATGCGCCGGCATGTGAGACAGACCACTGATGGTGCGGCGGCGCGTGTGGCTCACACCTGCGGAAGCTGGCGGCGATACTTTACCGGACTGCAAGCCTGGCGATGAAGAATCCGATGGTACAGAAGGTGAGACCAGAAACTCACCCAAAATATGTCTGCTCTGAACACCAAAGAAATTGACTAAAAATTTCAGATAATCCTAACCTTATTTTGGTTGATGAAATGTAATGTAATGCTGTTAAGCTCAAATTGAGTATTCTCAGTAAGTATTACATGATATATATACAAGCCAAAAGGGATGTAAGAATGGAAAATAATCAAAAGACCTTATTTACGGGATTATCACCTAATTGATACAATTTAATGTATACTATGTGATGTAGGGAAAAACGTACGAGTGGGAAGGATAAAACGAGTAAACGAGATACTCTCTCGTAAAACACGTAAAACTCAACAATATCTTTTATTCATTCAAACTCCATCATTTCCTAACAAAGCAGAAGAGCCCTTTAAATAAGGCTCCTAACCCTAGACCTTAACTTGTCCAACAAGACAAGATTATTAAACAATAATATTAAATCCTAACTTATTCTCTAAGACACCTATTAGATAATAATAATAATAATAATAATAATAATAATAATAATAATAATAATAATAATAATAATAATAATAATAATAATAATAATCTACAGGGTGTAGATTATTATTATTATTATTATTATTATTATTATTATTATTATTATTATTATTATTATTATTATTTATTAAATAATAATAATACTAGATACTAATCTACACCACTATGTTTACAATAACATTTAGGAAGGTTGATATGAAATAAATAATCATGTGAATAGATCCAAACAAATAACGTACAAGTATAAAATCGGTTAGTAAGTTTGATATAATAAACACAATCAATATAATCACGTGAATAGATTGCTGCGACATGATTGAATAGATCCGGTTTATGTAGGGACCCATCATTTGGATTTTGTATCATGATCCATATGGAGAAAAACACAATCAATGTAATTAACCAATTGCCAACCGATATCTCCGCATATGCTTCTTGTTAATTTAGCCGTACGGAACTTTTGCAATGCTCAACAATTCTCCCCTTACTAAGAAGTTTTTCACTCAATAATTCTGCCCTTAGTAAGAAGTTTTTCAGTTAAGAATTGGGTTCTTTCTCTTTTCTTGTTTTCTCTCCTTTACTGTTTTTGCAAAGATTACTGGGTTTTCTACTTGTACTTATATGTACACGAATTGATAATGCACCAACATGCTGGTTTTCCCTTGACCGTTCTGATTAGAGTAGTAACTTTGCAGCGGATTACTATTGAAGGAATAAAAAAGGATCCATGGTTCCAAAAAAATTATTTGCCTGTTAGACCTAGAGAAGATGAAATGGTGACCCTGGATGATGTTCGTGCAGTTTTTGAGGACATTGAGGTTGGTATTATTTTCTGCTGATATTTCATTAGTTAGCTGATTTTGGTAACATTGGGTTTGGATTACTTTCTGAATATATTTTATTGGTATGATATAAGACTTTTCCAAGGATTTTGGGATGTGCAAAAAAAAATAAAGAAGAAAGAAATAAACCAGTGGGATAATTTTGAAAATTACAACCACTGTTGACTGTTGAGATTTGTTGCATTTGCATTCGACTTGCCCCTACTGTTAGTCGACGTGATGGAATTTGTTGAAGTCCTCAATATATTACAATGAAACCCTGAACTTTCTGGAACATCTCAAAAACCCGCAGCATTCCGTTCGGATTTTTGTAATATTTAGAAAAATGTGGGATGTAAGTGTAAAAGAAAAAATTAAAGTTGTTTGTAATAAACAGAGAATTTGAGGGATTTAAATTTTCAACAGTACAGTGTTTTCGTAATTCCACCTGGTGCAGGTGCAAAATGTAACGAGGCTGTAATTCATTGAAATTCAAGGGAAGAAATTGTACTTTATAAAGTTGGATGGGGTTTTCCTGTAATTTGATCAAATCTCCCGGTAGTTTTCGTGTTATCCCTATTTGGTTTGTTTTGTCTCTCAAAATAACATTTTAACTTTTACCATTTGATAGCTTCAGATTCTGAATTTAAAACCATTTTGTTTATGCTATTTTTTTGTCTATGGTTAAGATCAAATCATATTAAAGCTTGCAAGGAGCAACATAGTCTTCTTTTCGATTCAGTATCTTTACTTTTTGATTGAAAATGCAGGACAAATATGTAAATGAGGAATCCCAACATAATGGTGATGGCCCTTTGATAATGAATGCATTTGAAATGATTACCCTTTCTCAGGGTTTAAATTTATCGGCCTTGTTTGACAGGAGACAGGTATGTTGATAGAACCTTGATATTGATAACTATGACATGAATCCGTTATGGGAAATGACTCTTAATCCTTGTTAGACAAACTGTTAAAAAATAACCAGCTTTGTTACATCTGCAAGTTGGAGTATGCATGCTGCTCTTGAGGCAATCCTTCGTGCACCCACATCACAGAGCATGGAAATAAGAAGAAATGTTTCTTTAGGGAAAACCGAAAATGCATAAGTCACAAATCTTGAACTTATTATGTTGAAACATAGGATCGAACTACACATAAAGCATCGATCGTAAACTGAAATCACCTTTTCATGTGCATCATTAGCAGCAGAATGTCCAAAAGCCATCTCATTATTTACTTAGATAACTTCATCTCCTCAAATCTTGCTCTGCATCATCTTGATCTCTGATTACTGTTGCTAAATCACCTTTTGTGATGTTGCTAAATTTAAATGGTGGTAGATGTTTTCTCTCTTGCTGTCCATTGTTTGAAGTTTGTATTCTGAGTTTTGGATTTTTTATACATAGGATTATGTCAAACGACAGACTCGTTTTGTTTCTCGACAACCTGCAAAGCTTATACTTGCAGCAATTGAGGCTGCTGCAGAATCAATGGATCTCAAGGTTCACACTCGTAACTACAAGGTAACTTTCTCCCTCAAACTCTGTGATGAGTTGTCGATAAGTGAGCCTTCTTCATGGCAGTGAGTTTGATACGTTGTTAACATTGTACACGAAGTTCCAAATACAATATATACATACTTGTTGCAGTTTAGATATCTATCCTTAATTGGATTTTCACGACAGACAACCATATTAATCATGCATGACTAGTGTAGAGTGTAGATTACCATTTTATTTTTTGTCTCTTAACATGGCTAATGACTCTCAGACGAGATTGGAAGGTGTATCTGCTAATAGAGGCTGTCAATTTGCTGTTGTCCTTGAGGTTTGTTCTCTAATATATCAATCCTGATATCATATTGTAAGAATTTTTATCTTATTAAGTCCTTCCTTTCTCAAAGGTTTTTGAAGTTGCACCATCTCTCTTTATGGTGGATGTCCGAAAGGCAGCTGGAGATACCCTCGAATACCACAAGGTTTACATATCTCTCTAATCTGAAATCTTCTCTCATACTATCATAAGATGCAATTTTCTTTACATTTATTTCCCTGCAGTTCTACAAGAACTTCTGCTCCGTGATTAATCATATAATTTGGAAACCGAGCGAGCGTATGCCGAATCCTGTTTGATGGTATGAAAGAAATCTGCCAGCAAAGTCAAAAACAAGGGAGATAACATAGTTCAACCTCTGCTGCTTGAAAACTGTTCCTGTTGTATTAATTATTGGTGATGATGAAGATAAGAAATAATGTAAAGATTGTTTTTATGTAATGTTCTTGTCGAGTTGTAAAGCTGGTAGCATTTATAACTAAAGTGTTTTGCATGGAAAGAGGAAGTGTTGTATGTATAAACGTTGTCATGTTTGTACACACGGTGTTCATCAACTGAAATGAAACACGAAATTGTAAATGATACATCTGAAAAGTTTAAATGTTTAATGTATCACAAGTCTGTATATTCATTGACTTACACTTTAATAAAAAAGATGGCATCTAACATGATTGAGGTCAAAAATATGGGAATTGTGATGTACGGACTTCTGTTATTTTTGTCTTACCTTCTACAGAATTTACTACTTAAATTTATTGCATGTTCCATTCCACGTGATAATTTTGTGGTATCTTAAGGGGGGACTAACATTTGAGAAAATTACTCCCTCAACGATAGCTTCCAAACTTTATTTTAGAAAAACGAAATAGGAAAAACTTCTACACTTATGAGATAAGATAGATTTAAAACAAAATCATCACGTAGGCGGCAATCGAGAGACTAAAACCCCAAAACTTTTATACCTAACCCCCTTTCTTCTTCCTTTTCCTTTCTTATCATTCTTCTATCGTGCAGAGACACCAAACCTTAAATTGTGCCCCTTTTTTCTCAAATTATTTTCTTCCACGCACCTGAATCCAAAATTGACAGCGGCGACCGAGATAGACGGTCCGTCATTGGCGGGGGCCGTGGCTCGACGCGACTGGAGGCGTGGGTAATCACCGGCAACATTTAGAGGCTGAAGACTTGGCCATATGAAGTAGAAGAAAGAATAAAAGGCAAATCTCCGGCCGACATCCACCGCCATATGAAGCAGAAAACTTGACCATACAGATTGAACGGTTGCCACTTCACATCCCTCGGCGGGTGTTGAACGTGGCCGGTGGACGGCTTGTGATAGGGCGTGGGAGGTAGTCTGCTGATTGTCACGCGGTTGCACAACTGAAGACTCGGCTCAGAGACATCTTCTCTTCTCTCAATCAGAAACAACTTCGAAGATGCACCGGGGCTCGTTGAGGAGATGAAGGGGCGACGTTGGGTATGGTGAGGTCATTCAGAATTGTTTATATGTTGTTTATCTTTTGTATAACTACACTCGATTTGAATTTTTTCAGTCATTCAGAATTGTGTATTATGTTTAATCCCTTATCAAAATTGTTTTTAAGTTGTTTATCTTATGTATAGCTATACGATTTTTAATAGAGAATTGGCAGATCATGATTATCTAATGTATATATACAGTATATCTAAACATATATTTGGAGGTTGGACGATTTTTTTTTTCGAATCAAGATGTCGATGAACCGAATTATTGCTTTACCTAATTTTTTCTATTCCAATCGGGATCGTAGCTTTTTTCGATGAATAACTGGATGGACGATTGATTTGTGACAATCAGATCTTTTATTTTTTTTCCGTTGTTGCTGCGGTATTTTAGCCGTAAATAAATGAATGGAGAGAGAAAGTTACTAGCTAATCTCGTTTATATGTAAAAAAGACCACATAAAATTTCAAGTTTGATGAAAGTTTAATTGAAAAGTATATGTGTAAATATTTTTATAAGAAGTCTATATGTGTTAATTTCTCCTAACATTAGTTACTTGAAAATAGGTATCTCCTCATCCCATAGTTAGATTGATCAAAACTTCAAGCCCAACCCTATATTTAAGCTACGAGGTAAAAATGTATATTGATGGTCTCGTATATTGTCCCGTACACCTCGTCCATCCCAATCACCTATTATATCCTTATTTTAAAATTTTTATTATAATTTCTTTTTATTCATAAAAATACTATATATTATTTAAGGATCATTATAAAATAATAATTAAGACGTACATGCTATTAAATGTAAAACGCATCAGAAATGAAATTCGGCATTTCACTGCCATTCGCGACCGCCGGCCACCATTGTCAGTTGTTGTTCGTCGCTCGACTACAAGTGATGGATTTCAACCAATGATATACATTTTAGACTCGATCTTTCCAAAGATGTGTTTAATTTTATCATATAATAACTCAAAACTTTGTTAAATCATTGTTAAAGTTACGAAAAATTGAAGAATTTGAAGAATTTTGTTGGAATATCATTGGAGATCTAGTAGTTGGATTTTCGTGAAACATATATGTATAGAAAACTCTTTTTATAAGAAATCCCACGGTATCTCCCAGTAGTCGATCTGACCTTCCAATAAACATGAAAATACCAACGAAGTTACCAAATTTTAGCAGTGCACGGCGGCAGGATGAAGGATTCAACCGGCGATTTTCGACGACTCGATTATCCAAATATAATGGCTTAACTCTAAATTGTTCCTCTTTTTATGGGCAACAACACCTCTTGGTCAAAATGATGTTTTGAGTTCATATGAGTTTTCGATTTGAAGTGTTATTTTCCAAGTTTTTTTTATTATTATTATTTTTTATGATTTTTCTGCATAATCTATGATAATATATGATAATCAGAGGAATTCTCTCTTTGAGAGCTGGAGATTCTCTCTTTGAGAGCTGGGATTCTTTTCGATCCGTGTTTGTGTTTCATCTTCCTCGTTTGTTGCTGTTGTTATCCCCGTTACTGCTTCCACTCTTTCCCATTTGTTTGTCTCTGTACTGTCTCTTCTCCCCTTTTCTGCAATTAGGGTTTCGATTCATAATGTCAGATTTTGATTCCGAATTATCTGACAGACTCAACCAAATCTCTCTTTCTGCAAATGAAGATAAGATCTTTGACATCGCCCAGGTTGACATTAAAGTTAGTGACGATGAATGTCAACGAAGCCTTTTCGGGAAAATTGTGGGCGACAGGCCTGCAAGTTGGATTTGTATTAGAAGAGCTATGTCGCAAATTTGGAAGCTCAGCCACTCGATGGAAGTTAAAGAGCTAAGCCCAAATTATTTTCAATTCATCTTTCAAAACCGTGAAGATATGAAGAAGGTGTCCTTTGGAACTAATTGGAGCTTCGAAAATCAGTATTTAATTCTTCAAGAATGGAACTCTGCTATCAACAGCAAACATTTGGGCTTTCAGGAGCTCAACCTGTGGGTACAAGTCCAAAATATACCTCTCAACTGGCTAAGTACCGATGTGGGTTTGAAGATAGGCAAAGCTTTCAAAGAATTGAAGAATGTGGTCATAGCTACCACAGGTAACCATGGGTGTAAGATCTTGAGACTCCTAGTCACTCTGAATCTTGAAGATCCTCTTCCTAGAGTTGCCAAAGTGCGTTTGGGGGACCAACTGGTAACAGTTGGTTTCAAATATGAAAAGCTAATTAATCTATGCCACTATTGCGAGAAAATTGGACACCTGGACAGAGGGTGCCTAAAGAAAATGGAAGATGTTAGCAACAATTCCCTCAAAGAGGGACATTATGGTGACTGGCTACGTGCCCCGGATGGTTTTAAATGGGCCCCTGTTGTTGGGTTCTGCTAGGAACGTCAAACAACATGCACGACATTGAACTTTATCGAAATAAATCCTAACGC